GTTTTTGTTTGTTTACTTTTGGTTTGTTGTTTACTTGTTTTTGTTTGTTTTCTTTTGGTTTGTTGTTTACTTGTTTTTGTTTGTTTTCGTTTGGTTTGTTGTTTACTTGTTTTTGTTTGTTTATCGTTTGGTTTGTTGTTTACTTGTTTTTGTTTGTTTATCGTTTGGTTTGTTGTTTACTTGTTTTTATTTTATCTTTTGGTTGTTGTTTACTTGTTTTTGTTATTTATTAGTTGTGTTTAGTTTTATTGTTTGTTGTTGTTTGTTTTCTCAGATCCGACACTTCCTGCCTGCTGAGCTCCATGAACTCTTCCAGAGGAAACTCAGAGACCGAGCCCTGCAGGACATGCCCAGCTTCTGCTGGTGTGCTCATGTAGGACCCCAGAGACCCAGACCAGAACCAGAACCAGGACTAAGTCCAGTTGTGTGTGTGTGTGAGGCAGTAAGTGTGTTTTGTGTTTCAGTGCTCCTTCGGGATGCTCCATGAGGCGGACCGGCTCAGGATGGACTGTCCCAGCTGTAAGAAGAGTACCTGCTCCGGCTGCAGATCAGCTGTAAGACACACAAACACAGAGAAGTCCAGAAGTGTGGACCAGAACCTGACCTCATGTCTGTCCTCTGCAGTGGTCCCCTCAGCATCAAGGACTGTCCTGTGAGCAGTTCAGCATGTTGCAGCAGCAGCAGCTCAGCTGCCCTCGGCTCCAACACACCATTGGTACAAACACAGTCTGAAGTGGTCCTGAAGGTCCTGCAGACCTCACACTCTGACAGACACACAAGAAGGTTTTGTGGGTTTAAGGAGGTTCTGTGGTTCTGTTTGTCCTCAGAGTGTCCACAGTGCCGATGTGTCTTCAGCCTGTCTAAAGGAGGATGTCTCCACTTCACCTGCTCACAGTGTCTCCATCAGTTCTGCGGCGGCTGCAGTCAGCGCTTCGCTCTGGGATCAGTGAGTCCAAGTTCTGCTTCTGACCGCAGGTCTACAGACCCATCAGGACCAGAACCCAGACCTGACACACCTTTTATTGTGACGCCTCAGGACTGCAGGTTTTCTGCTGAATGCAGAAGCAAAGGTCTTCATGCCCACCACCCCAGAGACTGCCTGTACCACCTGAGGGACTGGAGTGTGAGCCGACTGCACCTGCTGCTACAGGTGAGCAGAGGCTGGGATCAGGGGAGTCCTGGAGCCTCCTGTACGGACCCAGGAGCCTTCATAGTCCTGGAGGTCACCTGAGCACAGAGATCTGACTGAAGCTCATGAACACAGGGTCCATGTGAGTCAGACAGGTGAGGATGAGCAGCTCAGGTGTGAGGGGTCCGCAGGTGGACCAGGTGAACCATGATTAAAGTTGACAGGAGGGGATCACACAGACCTGCTGGACCTAGTCCACCCTTCTGGACCACCTGCTTCAGATGTTATTGTCCATGAAGTGGACGTTATCAGCCCCATAGAATGGTTTCAGACGTCAGCTGTTAACACTGATGTTACCTTTAGAGAAAAACTCATGGTTAGTGTTAAAGACACAGCCCTCCAACGGGTCTATGATGTGACTTCTGATAGGCCAATGGGTAGAGCATCAGACCACAGAGCTGGAGACCAGGGTTTGAGACCGACACAGACAGCAAGAGCAAGGATCACCACCAGGAAGGACGTAAATCTTCTTACAACATGTTTTGTTTAAATGTTTATTTACACATTCAGTGTCACTGACGTATGAACCCACTAGGGGGCACTGTGGGGACAGTCTGAAGCCATTGTATGGGACTGATAACATCAGAATCCCCTGTCTGGACCTGCTGAACTGGACCCAGTGTTTGAGAGGGAAACTAAGAGGAGCTGTGTGTCGGTTCAAGTCCTCACCTGCACAGGTGGGCTGTGTGAGCCCAGCTGATGTGTGGTTTCTCTGAGTGTTTGTGTGGAAACAGAGCTGCAGTGTTTCCTCAGGCTCCTGCTTCTGTCTCAGTATTACAGAGTGTCTCCATCCTGCTTGGAACCAGCCAGTACCAGCTGGACGGACTCCGGTCAGACAGGTGAGCTGTTGAACTGCTGGAGGCACTCAGCTCACCTGCTTGACTCACCTGGTGCTCCCTGACTTGGGTTGCAGTGACCTGTTGTGTGTTGGAGCTCAGAGAGGATGGTGGCAGGACGTGGGACAGACCGTGTGGACAACCAGCACCACCTGAGTACAGAGGATACTGCCAGTAAGGGTCCTGATCCGTGTCAGTTCTGTCAGTCTGCCCCCTGGACAGGTGAGCTGCTGTCAGTTTCAGGTGTGTCCACCTGTCTGTCCCAGCAGGCGTCACTACAAGGAGCAGATGGTGGAGCTGATCAAGCAGTGTGGAGCTGATCCTGCGGTCCTCTTCAGTCCTTCAGAGATGGTCTCAGAGCTGCAGCGTTGGCAGGTCCCCGTGCCGACCCAGACCTCTGAGGAACCAGAGCTGCTGTACGCACACCGCCTGCGCCTGGTGAGTGACATCATCACTGAGGCAGCAGGTGAGCTCAGCCTGCCTCGCTGCTTCATTCTGTCTCTGTGCAGGTGCTGACCAATAGTGTTCCTCTGAAGAAGCAGCCACACCCTCCAGCAGTAACCTCAGCTGAGGCCCCGCCCCCTCCCCAGCAGGTGAACAACTGACTGACTGTAGCCACCGACATTTAGATGGAGGCTTTTCACCTTTCCACGGTAACACGTCTACCTGCTGGAAGGTCATGGAGGGGTGACATCATCAGTCCGCTTCAACTGGATTGGCTCTGTGGTCACCATGGAAACGGTGAACCTGAACCTAAATGAGATCAAATATAGCTGAACGTTAACGAGATGAACTTTAACGAGATAAAAATCTGAGTGGTAACGAGATAAACTTTAAAGGAATATTTCAAATGTTTGACGAGACGTCAGAATCTGCCCCGCAGCGGTCAAACCAACAACCAGGAAGTTAGTTCAAGTCAGTTCACAGAGGGAACCGTTCAGAGAGGGAACCGTTCACAGAGGGAACCGTTCACAGAGGGAACCGTTCAGAGAGGGAACCGTTCACAGAGGGAACCGTTCACAGAGGGAACCGTTCAGAGAGGGAACCGTTCAGAGAGGGAACCGTTCAGAGAGGGAACCGTTCACAGAGGGAACCGTTCACAGAGGGAACCGTTCACAGAGGGAACCGTTCAGAGAGGGAACCGTTCACAGAGGGAACCGTTCACAGAGGGAACCGTTCAGAGAGGGAACCGTTCAGAGAGGGAACCGTTCAGAGAGGGAACCGTTCACAGAGGGAACCGTTCACAGAGGGAACCGTTCACAGAGGCAACCGTTCAGAGAGGGAACCGTTCAGAGAGGGAACCGTTCAGAGAGGGAACCGTTCACAGAGGGAACCGTTCACAGAGGGAACCGTTCAGAGAGGGAACCGTTCAGAGAGGGAACCGTTCAGAGAGGGAACCGTTCACAGAGGGAACCGTTCACAGAGGGAACCGTTCAGAGAGGGAACCGTTCAGAGAGGGAACCGTTCAGAGAGGGAACCGTTCACAGAGGGAACCGTTCACAGAGGGAACCGTTCAGAGAGGGAACCGTTCAGAGAGGGAACCGTTCAGAGAGGGAACCGTTCACAGAGGGAACCGTTCAGAGAGGG